AAGAGGTTCTCTGATTGGAGAAATCCCCATGGAAGGTCTCATAAACGTTGTAGGGCCAATACCTAAGGGATTCACTGATCCTGCGACTATGCAACATCTCGACAGTCCCAATTACATGAGTCCATTGTTTCACTTACCACACCCTACACAGCCAGAACCATTTCGAAATCAAATTCAGAATTCCATGATGCCCTTGGTCTCCGTAGCAGTCAAACCTTCTACTAGTGATACTCTACCGTCTTCCGGAGTAACTAGTTTTAAGGAAGACGTAAATCCGTTTCGTCGGCCATACACACAGGCATTTCAACAGCATTATACGTTCAGGCACAGTGAAAATCTCCCACCACAAAAATACATACAAACCATAATAGCAACATCAAATTTGCCAAACGAAGAAAATGTTAGCAAACACGAATGGCAGTTACATGAACAGAAGAAGCTTGTATCTGACCGATTCAATATCATCCCTTCTCTGGCCCAATCATCTCTGACCGCAGCGACATCCAGTCTTCCATCTATGCGAAATCTTCCGGAGTTTACTGAACCACACCCGTTTCATTTTCCACCGCCGAATTATCTCCAGAGAGCCACACTGCCACACACCTCAATTGTCGTACAACATTCTTCTCCTGATGATAAAACAGTCCTCTTACCACAAACATCACCATTTCAAAAGTTTCTGAGTTATACTGAACAGCAGCTAAAGCAGCCAGGACACCAGAACGAAAACATGGCATCTCTGAGTACACGTGTGCCCCAACCATCTACAGAGGAACAATCCATGCCTTCGCTGGATGCCACACTTCACGCTGCCCAGTCTGAGTACACAACAAAACTTATGGAGTACTTCCAGCAGCTACAGCACGAGTGAGTGGTATTCCCTCTCAGGAATGTCAGCTTTAGTCGTGGCACGTAAATGTATTTAGTTTAACTTTACTTTACGTACAGTGTTCTCTGAGAAAAATCGCTGTTCTGGACAGTATTTTTCCATGGAAGTTAAGTATCCCCTCCACCCAAGAAAACTTGACAGTAATCATTCTCAGGTATATTACTTCATGTCTTAATTCTATATTATTCTTAGCTGAGTTGTTTTACACGTGGGAAACTTGATGGGGTGTTTGTGATGTCTGAATTCATCGTCCAGTGCACATAATGTTTCATATTTTGTTCATTTTAATATTCTGAGTCCATCACTTTGCAGTGTTTGATGTTACAGTAAATAAACAGGTCCTTTTCAGAATATGCTGTGCAGAAGGCAAAGTGTGAACATGTACAGAAATATTAAACAATGTTAATGCAAACTGTATTTTATAAAGTAAAAAGATTATCTTCCCATAACAGTTTGAAGGGCATTCATAACCTATTTGTTAATTATTTGCAATGTAGTTAGTTGAATTACGCTAAATAAAATAAATGAACGAACATGCTAGTTTTAATATTAAAGGGTAATTATAAAGAGGGTTCTATATTATGAAGCCACGGCAGAATTCAGATTTCTGTCACCTGGTTATATATTTCAGGTGTTTTTATTATGAGATCCTGCTTGGTAAGATCATTCACGGTCATAGTACAAGAATCAGTTTGGTGCCCACCCCATCTAAAGTCATTCACTCATTCAAGAAGCTTTTGAGTCAGCCCCCTCCCACAAGGCACATTGCATTTTGTGTCTTGCAAAAAAAATTTTTAGGTGACCCATTTTCAAGTAGTCTGTTGACAAAGTTTGATTTGACCTTCAACATACATTTCTCTTCAAACCTCTGTACCTTTGCTAAGTTGCCCCCCCTCTCAAAACAACCCATTAACCCAACCAGTTAACTGATCTTTTCCAAAGTTCAAAAATCTGGCAAAACAGCAGACTTCAACGTATGTTCTCAATGCTTTGATGTATAAATACAGGCATACCTCGCTTTATTGCGCTTAGCAGATAGTTTTTTTTTCCAAATCGAAGGTGTGGCAACCCTGCGTCGAGCAAGTCTATCGGCGCCATTTTCCCAACATCACGTGTTCACTTCGTGTCTCTGCGTCACATTTCGGTAATTCTCGCGTTGTTTTTAGACTTAATAGACTACAGTATAGCGTAAACATAACTTTTATATGCACTGGGAAACCAAAAAATTCGTGATTCGCTTTATTGCCGTGGTCTGGAACCAAACTGCAATATCTCCGAGATATGCATGTACACAGAATTTTCCTCTATTCTTCAAAGACCATGAAAAAATTTGAAACATTTTAGGTTAGTGCTTTAGATATTCAAGAGGTTATGTTGGCTTTAATTAACAAAGTGAAGGTGACAAATCATGAGGTGGGTGTACTTCCAACATGCTGCACACGCAACTGGTTAATTGTGATTGGTCAGATGGGCCCCTATCACAATTTTTTGGCATAATTTCATCACAAAATACCACCTGCTAATTCTACCCTCCTATCTTCAGACATGTCTTTTTTTCCCACTACATACATTTACTTTATTTTGCAGTGCTAATCATAAATATATGATTTTTTTAATCCAAAAATAAGGGCCTGTGTTACATCAGTAAATATAGTGCACAACATAAAAAAAATTGTGAAAAGAAATTACCCCCAAAATTCTACCTACTTACAGTGTCTGCAAATATATATTTATAGTACTGCGCACACTAACTCGACAGGTGGCAGAAGGAAAGGATCGGGAATGATTCCGAGGATCCTGAAATAAAAAAAACATTGGGAAGAGTAAAGAATAAGCCACAACACTTGTTGGCCACATTTAGGATTGTTTAATGAATTAGAATGGCTGAATGCTCATCATAATAACACAATTTGAAAATGGCCATTGACATAATTTCAAAAGGGATTGCATGAACCTTACACAATACAAGCAATGATCACAACAAATTATTAACACATTTTCTGCTGACCTCGACCCCCTGATACGCATATTTTCTTGAGCTCATGTGAAGATGATGTCCTTTAATTATACTCACCCACCATCACACGATTGTATTGTCATGTGCCTAAGAAAAGATGCACTCCTATGGTTTACTGGATCTTGCTTGAAAATACATTCACCATCATTTAGATGCTTTCACATAAAAGAGATTTGCAAAGTTTCATCAGTCAAAGACAGTCTTAATGCCGCTCAATATGAGCCATCAAAGCAGTGGTTTTCTTTCAATTTCCATTAGACTAGGGAAGAACAATACACTGTAATTTCCTTTTTTTTTTTAATCAGCGACACAAGTGCAAAGGTTTATTTCCAAAGCTTTAAATCAATACGTGACATGGCGGATGAACACTACAAACATGGTACCCCATTTCCAAAAAATAAAAAACTACACAGACTATTACATCGTAAATTACAGAAACACTGCGCTGGAATTTGAGCAAAAAACATTTTCAAGCTCTGGGGGAGGAAAAAATATAGACAGGCTACATTTGCACTTTTAGTCTACCATTTTATTTCTTCAACCCACCAGTTATTCATCATATGCCCCTCAATCTAGAAAGCGCCCATTCACGACATATCCGGCACGTTACGAGCACTGACCGTGCACACATTCTCTTCCTTCCACCCCTTGCAGCAAATACTATAATTATAATAATTATTGAGTTGGCCCCTTGCCTCTTAATTATGCAAATTTTCCTCATAAACATCCATATATTTCTTGTTTCACCTTATCAGTCTCTAGAGGCAAATACATCAATTTAAAAAATAACAAAATAGTATTTGCATTATATACACAGATATCTATCATTCTAATTGAGTATTGTATTGTTTACAAAAATGAAGCCGATATGCAGTACACAATGCAGCAGTTAACAGAAATCTACAAGCAAGAGTTGTTGGGACAAGACACTGCATGTGTTGCAATATCAAATTCTGACTGCATTTCAGGTCTCGTAACAAATTTAGAAACTAATGTATCACAGGACACAGGAGATTTAAAACAGCTCCATACAATTCATACATTCTGCACTGGAAAATTTGAGTGTAATTATAAACAAACAGATGATACCGAAACAAAGAACATGACATATCCCATGGAAAACTAACTATTTAAACCCTAAGAAAAAATGCAATTTTCCAAATTTTATTTTCGCTGTAAAGAAACGTCGGTTACACGTGGCCCAAGAATATCGAAGCAGCGTCTGAATATATACCACACAGTATGTATCTGTATGTCTGGTCAGAGTTGGGAAGTACACGCGGAATAATTCGCCACGGCTCGGATAAAATATCTTCTGCGGGTCACGTACTTGCTCCAGAGCTGCTGTTGGCTAGCAAGAAAATAAATCAGCTCCAGATCTGACACAAAAATGCTTAAATACAGCACCGGTGTCGGCGGCTACGGCTATAATTCGGCGGATGCCGTCTGCTCAAAACTAGTTGCGACGACAGTGACGGCGATGTGGAAAATGGCAGTAAAAGAAAAAACTGTCCTAAAAATGAAGCTAAACCTGCAGCGATATGCATTCAATTTGCAACGTATGGGAGCAAGAGAAATCTTCTGGTATGACTAGCTTTCTGCACCAAGCTGACTTAAAAATATATACTTATACATGAAAAATTGAAGGGACAAGGAATTACAGAGAAAGGTAGTAATTAAATTGTTACTGGGTTCCGGACTTACTGAATGCACACTCCTTACACCTGTTGCCGGCTATTCTCAAGCGCAATGTCGCACTTCTTCCGCTTGTCACTAGACGTCAGTCTAGTTCTGGTGCTGTACCCAGTCACTTATCAGCCCACCGGCAAGCCAACTGGTTATAATATTGCTAGAGTGGACTGCACGAGAGCTCCACCCACACTTCGCCCATTCAGCTAGCCGACTGGCTGTGAAGCCGCTATTAACTCCCCGAGTGTACCGTCACTTGATTGCTGGGTGCTGAAGACAGAAGCATCGGTGGTTGCGGAGGAAACAGAGTGGCAGTACCGAGGAGTTGAGAGGTGCCGCTTCTCGGACTTAGGAGTTGATTACTGAAACAGCTGTGCAGCGTGTCTTCGATAAGAGTGGCGATCTTCTCTTTATCAGCCTGCAACATATTTTAACCATAATATTCATATACTTATAATTATACGTGCTGATGATGTTTCTTATTGCCTGCAACATATTTTAACCATAATATTTTTATACTTATAATTATACTTGCTGATGATGTTTCTTATCCTTACGCAATTTATGTGGGAGTCAGCTATACCTTACACCCTTTCAAAAATTAAAAATTAAAAATAAATTGCTAATTTCAGAGCAGACAAGACGGAAAGGCACGTATAGAAAACAGCAGAATGAAATCAGGACCGTCGGGTTTTTGGACCTCGTCCACTGTCTGATGTTATACGATACACAACAGTGTGTGTCATAGAATATCAGAAGATGGACAAGGTACGAAAACCCTCCCCCGAAAATCCAGATTGTATTGCACCATCATAAAAAGCCCTTCAGAATTTATTAGAATGGAAGCCTACAATTCGGTTACTGAATACCGTTCTGCACTCAAAATATACCGCAGTCCGTTACCGAATTATCTGACTCACCCGACTGCTTTACGTTCTAGAAGAAACTGAGTTGTATTATTACCTCATTGATGAAGCCAAAATAAACCAATTCCTGAGCCAGAAGTAAAGACGTGTCAATTTCAGACACCAAACACGTAAGCTGACGATTCATCTTGTCATCCATTCGAAGCAATATAGTCATCTGAAAGAAAGTAGACTTGTGTTATTCCGTGATTACTCTGCAATAGCCGAGTGCAGTGATAAAACTTGCAACTTACACGAGCGCAGCGCAGCTGTGACGGAACGGGCACGACTTATAACGAGTACTTCATTACAGTAAGAAAAAGATCCATGGCAATGTCTCAATTTATTAAATTTATAAACGTGAGAATTGCTGTAATTCTGCGATGGCCCTTGGCTGTTGAGAGAATATTTTAATATACTTACTTATAAAAGTGAAAATAAAACTCATATTGTATTTCTTGATAACAAACAAGTGCACGTTTCTCACGTGTCAGTGTCTTTTATAAACAGATGTTAAGTACCAGTATCTGTTGTATCCAAATTACCCCTCTCTTTTCAACCTGTCTACTTCATCTCTCAAGCGACCTAGCACGAAGACCGACAGCTTACCCCTCCAAATTTTAGATGTCCTTTTGCGAGGCAGAAAAAAATAATCATTTTCTTCCGCCCACCTACACAATTTCTTCCAGAAGTTACACGTATAATGAATTCTTCGCAGGCTCCCAGCCGTTATACTTAGTCACCGTGAAAGCTTCAGATCTCGGACAGTTCACGTGTTACCAATTGGTCATATCGCTCCTCAACGTGATGCCAGCAACTACAGATGACGTAACACTTTTCCGATGCCTACGGAGCAAGATCGGGGGATGGGGTTCCTTCTAGGATATGACGATATGTCAGTCAAGAAGGAAATATAACTTCTTCTGAAAAGGCGTGGGTGTCTGCGAATCAAATGGTGGCTCGACGCGTTGAAGGAATGTTCTGAAGAAAGCGAGACTCCAAAATTCAGCTTCTCCATTGATCCAGACCAGGAATGTTGTACTTTTACCAGTCGCAAAAACTGTTAATCACTTTGCATTTCAAGCATTAATTTAAGACTGACTCATATTCTGTTAGGAAAAACAAATCTGTGCGGCAAGAGTCTGTCTCCCCCCCTCGTGGTCTCCTAGAATTTAATCAACATCTGCTTGATGGTAACACGTAAAATTTCAAATCATTAGGCTTATCATCATGAATAACATAAATTAGATATGTACACTAAATACTTGCATTATTACCACATACTGCAGCATAAGTAAATGTTCACAAAATTATTTCAAGAACGACCACAAAAAGTTCAATGTGACAACCTCCTGTGATTAGAACAAATGATTTAATCAGAAATCATCTAAGCACATTCGATATCTTACGAATTTTCCTTAATTTGCAAATAAATACAACCCCTGCTTTTAATGAAAATTAAATAAAAAGATGTTTTATATTTGGGTAAAAAAAAAGGGGGGGCATCTCACCTGCAATTCACAGCTCTCGTCCTTCGGCTTCACGTTGCACATCATGTTCACGACTCTCCTCATTTCCACGTCGACCGGCTCTGGTGTAACAGACTTCACAGATTCTGCCATCTCTGGTGATATTGGACGAGGTCGAGGCGGTGGAGGTTGTTGAGCCCTGAATGCAGTCAGCGGGTAAATGCCATACCTGCAAATGTAGAAGTCGCGTCCATGCAGACTCAAATGAGACACTGACGTCACAACAGGTTATCCCAAGGTTATTACAGAGTAGAAGGAAGCTTTGGTCTTGTGTTAGTACTTTCTTTACCCACAACCTATTCTACACCATAAAATAAATTCCAACACAATGGCCGGCTGGACGACCGGGGTTCGATCCCCGACGGGGGCAGAGGAATTTTTCCTCTAACCTCTGCGTCCAGACCGGCTCTGGGGCCCACCCAGCCTCCTCTACAATGGGTACCGGAGTCCTTTCCCGGGGGTAACGTCGGCCGGGGCGTGATGCTGACCACTCACCTCCCATCTAGTGCCGAGGTCAAGGAAGGGAGGAGCTATACCTCCGCTCACCCCCAAGCGCCTACATGGCGTATAGTGGGACAAACTTTACTTTACTTACAATGATGGAGAAATTTCACAGAATTTTCACTTGCCATTTGCCGGCATTATATTCTTGAAGAAACCCGCGAATGATAAAACCGTGATGCGCGAAGTTCAGACCTTACAGCGAAAAATGAGGTTCAGAACCACGGACATGCAAAATGTGAAAACGTCAGTATTGATGTTTACTGGTATGATATTGGCATTCCTTGTTGAATGCCGTCAGGCTGAATGCACACAAGGGTAACTGACAAGCAGTTATAAAAATTGTGTCGCACAATATTCGCAGGTACTACGACAGGTGGGCGGATGCGGGCTGCTAATATGACTCCATGCGCACAAGATGAAACATGATAGGGTGACGTACCTAAGCCACGATTCCCAAATATTACCACAATAATTTTTCTGTGAATAAGCAAGCCCAGAAATGAAAAAATACAGAAACAAATTCCTATTATATTGCATTCCTGTAACACACAAAACAACAAAAAATGTAACATAATGTAAAGTGCCATATAAGCACACCATCTGTGTACCTCTCTTGCACACAGACGCACCAGCCAGAAGCCAAGCCTTGTCCTCCTCCCATGTGGGAGGTTTCTTTGTCTTCGAAGTGTGCAATTATGAGTAGCGAGTGACACGCCCACTGCCTCCGCACAATTCCTACTCAATCCTAATTTGTCTACTAGAGCCATCTAGTAGTGAATCAGGAGAGACTTGGGTGAGAAATTGCCACTGAATTTTGCTTACGAAACATCTCGTTCATGCTCGTAAGGATCTTTTACATGCCGCAAATCTACGACATGGGACCGCCGGCTTTACTTCCCCTCCAAAGGAAATTGTGCTACACCCTTAAAAATCCATCGACCTCGGCCAGGTTTGAAACCCGCAAACCTCGGGTCCAGCAGCGAGCACGCTAACCTCTAGTTGACCGAGGGCAACCTTGCAGACATTAGTGTGTGTAAATATCATCTATGGACCACAATTTTAAGCTTCCTTCTATGGACAGCAGATCACATCTACGTACATTTACGATTTACTAGGTAAAGGCCGTGCAATGAAACTCACTTCACATCTTCGACAAATTTCTCAAGTTTCTCTGCGACGGGCACGTCACACATCTTCATCTGCACTCCTTGTCGATCAACGTGGATGATCTCTGCTACCACCACGTCCGGTCCGAACAGTCTCTGCATCACCTCATCTGTTATAGTCTCCGAGATGTTGGCTATAACAGTTAAGATGATTTTATCAAGAAAAAAAAGTCTTAGGCGTACTGTATTTATTTAACGATGCTGCTTCCTGCAAGACATACAAAGCCTCTTCACAGATCTGAATTTCTGGATGTCGTATTTAAGGAACGTCACGCTTTCTACTTCAACAAGAATTTTATGGGGATGCTCAACCCTTTTACCTGAATCATTTTTTTTTATAAACAGGGGTGTGGAACCTCACTCCACACAATACGAGTTACGTAACTTTCGAAGATCGATTACCACACCTCATTTCACAACCCCACATAAAGAGATGCTGGGGTCATTTCCATCTCACAAGTTTGTGCCACTTAATGGTACCCGCACCTTCTCATGGTGGTGAGGCTCGAGTACCTCAGTGACCCCAAGAGCTACTGGTAGGGCCTCCGTAGCCAGATGTTTCGAGCGGGAGAGGTCAGATTAAGACAGGTACCCTGGTCCTCCAGGTTGGGGGGTTGGTCGCAAGGCTACCAACCTTGCGCCGTAAAAAGGAAGATGTTTTGAGACCTCGATCAAAGCCTCGGACAGACGGAAGAGGAGAACGGAGGAGGCCGTGGACCGAATACGGACCGGAGAGCCGTAGAAGAAGAAGATACTGCTATGAGATTGCAGGGAATTAAAAAGTAGGAGGCTGAGGTGTCCTCCAGTGGCGTAACATTCATCAAATTACACCCGAGTCGAAATCTGGGGATCAACACAATCTGTCCTATATACATCCATGTTACGCACAGAGTAAAAGAATGCAAGAACAAAGTTACAGGGCACTATCTATTAAAATTCATACCTGATACAGAATAGAGCAAATCCCCTTTGAAAAATCAACGTCCAACGTTTTGCATGGTTCCTGAGAATAACATGACAGTCAAAGTACTAAACCACGTCCTTACCGGTGCTATAGACGAGAGCATGCGCAGACAAGAGTTTGAGTGAATGGACTTCAAAGAGAAGTGGGTGGAATAAGAGCTCTCGGGCACAGGGTCGGTGATCCGGCTCTTTGTGCAGACACTTATGGATGAAGTCCTTCTGTTGCTCGTCGTCGAGTGACTCTATCGTCCGATTGATATTTTCTTCGGTCACCAGCGTCCCAGAGTCGCCATTACCCTGGATCTCCAACGCTGCCATCTCTAACGCGCACATACCGAACGAGTAAACGTCAATTGCAGGCGTCACAGAAACTGAAACACACCCAGAAAGAAAAACGATTAAAATGCATGGCACAACTTTCTAATACCAGTTCCACATCTCAACAAAACAATTCCTCGCTGCTGTAAGGTTACTTCCTGCGTTATTTGTCCAAAAGACCTTACGTCTGGATACCGACGAGTTCAATTTTGAATAACTTCGCAATCTGTATTCTCAATCGCATGTTATTAGGGTGACCAAATCAAGGAGTGACGAGCGGCACGATGAGATTATTATTATTATTATTAAGTGTTCTGTCTTACGACAGGTCCATTGCTCTGCCCAAAAAGAGCTCTCCAGTTGTCCCTATTCTCGGCTTCTCGCTTTAATTCCTGGAACGTCATCTTCTTTCCTTGTTTAAGGTCGTCGGTTAGCTGTATCAGTCTTCTTCCCAGTCCTCGCTTTCCTTCAACCTGGCCTTCGGTGATATCACTCAGTAATCCATTTCTTCTCATAATATGTCCCAGCCAGTTGGCTTTCCTTCGTGTAATCTTTGCTCGTTGACTCTCCTCAATACTTCTTCGTTGGTCACTCGATCCGTCCACCTGGTCTTCTCTATTCTTCTCCAACACCACATTTCAAAACTCTCCAGGTATTTCTGTTCCTTCTTCCTGAGTGTCCAAGTCTCTGCTCCATACGTAACACTTCACTAGTTTCTCCTTCATCTCCAAGCCCAACTTGCTAGTGAGAAGTATCCTCTTCTTGACGAAAGCTGCCTTGGCCACGGCTATCCTTGCTTTTACTTCCTTGGTGCATAGGGCGTCCGTCGTGACTATGCTTCCCAAGTACTTGAAATGCTCCACATTCTCCAGCTGTTGGTTTCCAATTACAACGTTCCATGGTTACGATGAGATATTAGTGCAAAATATAAGCTGGAACGCTACAAGGGAAGACGATGGCACTGATCGCAGAAAATTACTATGAATATATATAAAACAAGGTATAATTGCGTTATCTACATTTTTCTGGAGGATTCTCGTGAACACAGTAACGATCCTTCTAAGTCTGGTATGAAATTCCCAAACCAGCCGATCGGCCATTAACGTCTGAAGAAATCTGCATATGAAAATGATGCCATGACCTTGGCACTAGATAAAGGTAAAGTGGTCAGCTTTAACCCTGGGGAAAGACCTCCGTGTGCCCACTGGATAGTCTATGAGCCAAACTAGATGAGGTGGCGAAGTACACTGGTCATCCGTACCACAGTTGGCTATCCTGAATCCTTTGCATTAAATATTATACTTATAACAGAAAACAGCAGCGAACCTTTACCAAAACATGAACCGCGATCCATCATTTTATTTTAATCTCTCTGATATCTTTTACGTATAACACTCGACTTTTAAGCACATTTATATATGTACATCTGACTTAATTTTGCAAACGCAACACGCCACGTGTCTCATCTTCCATTTAAGTTTCACAGAATGTACTTTTTTTTAGGTAAAACATTATATATTCTTAATAAATTACATATTATTCCCATATTCTGTTACTTACCTCCATATTCAGGGGCAATAAAATGCATATTCTTCATATTGTCTCTGCACGTCTTGACGTGGTGATGGATAGCATCAGGTGCCACTGCGGAGATAAAGAGTTACGAAAACAAAGTTAGAAAATGCATTCAGCTGTGCCTTCGTGATTGTGGGTTCTCCCGATTCGCCCCCCAACCCACCCATCCCACGTTAACTGCTGGCCAATTCCACACACAAAGACCCCGGTCGGATTCTTGACGGCAACTCATTCTGCCAACGTTCGAGACTCGCCCCTGCCCATCAGCGGACCTATGCCATCGGTGGCATACCGCGTCCCCACGCGATCGCGCTCGTCCGATGTTTTTGTGCGTCAGATAACGAATTAGACAGCCGGGAAACCCTACAAAACCACTGAAGGTTCACCAACAAAACCCTCCACGGTGTACGTGTTCACCCTGGAGCTGCTTACTATAAATAAAGCCTTACGCACTAGAGAGACATTAAAGAATAATGGTGTTATGCTTCACTTTACCTGATCCTATTTTCACGAGGCCATTGTGCTGAATAAATATGGTATCACAGGTGAGATTCCCATGGATGATGGGTGGAGAACAGGAATGCAAGTAACTGTAAAGAAAAACATCAGCGTTTACCCCATCAACAAGGATGGATGAAGTATGCTGCACAGTTTCCGTTGTCCGCAAGCGACGGGGCGACGATGCTCTGCTCCGTTTACACCGCTGCCAACCTCAAAAGCTGCAGGTTCAGCTGTGGACACTCTGTGACTTTTTTTTGAGGAATCAGCTGATGTGTGTAGTGATCCATACGGAACACCAACTATACCTCCCCCATCCCCACTATTACTGACACTCAATATACGAGGTGCGATCGGAAAGTTTCCAGACTGCGCGTATAAAAACCCGTACACTTATCTCAGGTATTAAATTCAGCCATCACCCTCGAAGTAGTTCCCCTGGGAGTGAACACAACGATCCCAGCGCCGCTGCCAAGCCTGGAAGCATCCCTGGAAATCTTCCTTTGTCAGCCTGTCAAGCACCATCTGCGATTCTGCCTGAATCTCTTCTATCGTCTCAAATCTCCTTCCCTTTAGCTGAATTTTCATCTTTGGGAAGAGGAAGAAGTCACACGGAGCTTAGAAAGGAAGGTGGGGTCGGTTCTTGCAAGATCTTTAAACTCCTGACAAACGAGAAGTCGATTCTGCTTCTAGTCCTCTGACAGGATGCGTCGCATGTGGAGTTCTTCCTTTAGAATCAGCTAACAGGTCCCATAGCCTATCCCAACAATGTCGCACAAATCGTTGATGGTACGACGTCGATCTTCGTAACAGTTTCGGGCGTTGTGCTCGAAGATGGTCGTCCAGAACGCTCGTCATCATCATC